ATTATTTTATTAGCATACATGTATATGTACCTCATCATAGTTAGTGTCATTCAAATCTTCTTCCTCTTCCTCTTGTGGCTTCTTTTCAGTTGCAAAGCCTGGCTTCCCATGTCGCTCATCACTGTGAAGACAATGTTAACACCATTAATACATAATATCTTAAAGGACTACATTCTGCCCAATTTGGCAATAACAAGATGAAAAATCTTCCAGGACTACCAATATTGAACAAGACTTGATCATCAGGGCCGGCTTGTTCCAAAGCCGGTTAACACTAACCCAGGATTAAAAGTTAACCAAAGTATTAATTTTTCTTACATAAAAATGTTTTTGTACTGCTTACGGTTTGTGTAGTTTAAGCTTAGTCAAGCTCAATACTGAAGGACAAACAGTATAAACAGAAAACCTCACCAAAAAGTTACAAAACTCAAATCAAAGTTCTAGCTAATCCTGGGTTAGGTTAATCGGGCTTTGAACAACCCAGCCCAGAGGAAGATTTTGAATTCAGTAACTGAGTTATTTCCAAACTGGATTACATGTAGGATGTATACTCACTGTATGTACTTGTGTTACGTGTTAATTATACTCGGCTCAAAACTGTTTAAATTACCTGTTAATTTGGATACTATCTATTTAAATTAATAATTAATTCAGCCAGTTTGCAAAATCAACAGGTACATCTGTAAATCACGATGATATTGAACAATCCTTCATGAGGGGGCCTAAAGAGCGCTCCACTAGAGTCTAAATTTTACTCTTCACCCAGACAAAACAGAAGGTAAGGTGAAGATAAAACATTGCATGCATAAAGGTGCAGTTGGTAGATGGGTGTTTGTTTTTAACTTGGGAAACCTTACCAGACAAGGGCACTTACTAAAATTAGGCAGCTTGTTGAATGGAAGGCGAATTATGCATGACAGTGCGTGGCTTACAAAATTATGACAAAACATGCATGGGTCGAAAACGTAACACCGGAAAATACGATGGGCTTGATAAATTTTCATAAACCACCAAGCAAAGTTCTCACCTTATATCTGTAGCATCCCTAGCAGGACCGATATCTGAACGAGTGGTGAAACCTGTCGCACTACAAAAATGAAAACAAGATTAGACTAGATAGTAGAAGTTAGAATAATGATCGTAAAGCAGGGAGGTCATATAAGCTCGTGCAAAAACCTACAGTTGGAAAGATCAAGTTTTTGTCGCAACCTTAATTCGATACTTACCCTCTTCCAAGGCCAGGTACATATCCGAGAGGGGCAGGTACTCCAATAAAAGACTTTTTTTTCTTATTCAATAAAGACATTTTCAGTAACAACCGAGTTTTGCTCTTTCAAAATGGCAGACGTAGCCTCGTAATCGTGACGTCTCGAAAGACAGCCACTGACCAGTATAAACCACGTGTAACGCCGACTCTACTCACGGAAAGTATGAGGAGATCTGGGCGGAAGTAGACTACGCAACGACGGACTAAGCGAAAGAGGTACTCGTAATGTAGGGCGGAAAAATTCCCAAGGCGACAGAAACCAAACCAAACCAAACCAAAACAAAACAGGACATGTGATGTCCCATACCAGCAACGATCCATACTCCACAAAGGCCTTCCATGACATTTTAGCTCAAGATACCCAGACGGTCATGCCCCGGGGTCTCCGAGAATGACGCACAGTCTGAGATTTTAGGAGTCTAAGGACTGACTTTCCGAGACATCATCCCCACCCACGTCCTGCCATTTTAAGACGAGTAGCACTGGGGACGAGAATGGCCATCATCCCGTGCCCACGTCCTGTCCTGTCCTGTTTTTGCTTGGGGTGGAGTGCACATTATACTGCAATGTGCACTTTAGACACAGAAGGGGTGCACACTATAATGGCCTATACGGGGACCCTCTGTCCGAAAGGGGTACCTTTGCAGGCTTCAGGTAAATAATAGGGTAGCGATTTCATAAGCTGAGGTAGTGTTTATGAAATGGTAGAGAAATCTGTCATTTAAGTCCGATGTGAACATGAACTGAATGATTATAAAATACTTTTATTTTCTTTTTTTGGTTAACATCCATTCTGCTTTATATGCTTGATAAATTTAATAAAAGATTGTTACATGCATGCCAGTTAAGATAGTGATAGGACTGAATTTCTGTCTCACTGAACACTAACTTTGCCACTGTAGGAAAAGCTCTATTCATAGACCATAACATCAAGTGATTTATTAAACTTTTCTTTTGACAAAGAGGCTCTCAAACAGTAGAGCTAAGACACCCAAGCCTTTACTGTTTAATGTTATACCTCAAATCACCCTTGCAGGCACATCAAGAAATGGCTTGTGAACATATCAGCTAGTATAATAGGCACTTTAAAAGTTAAGCAATGAATGAATGAACATTATTTCTTTTTTTTT